GTAATGCAATTATTCAAAATTATTTTAAGCAGCTTACTTAATCTCAGGGTGGATTCTGTGATTTTGGGGGGGTCATCCTCCCCTCCTGAGGGGCATTCCACCGTTCCGGGCCAGACGCTGATCCTGAAATAAGTGGCGGCTCATGCTTAGCACAGGACTCACTCAGCTCTCTCGCCTTCTGAGCATCCAGGACCACAGCTCAGTGCCACCACGTCGTGCCCAGCAGGAGGCCAAGTGATGCAACTTGGTTATTAACCTATATGAGATTCTTACACTCGATGGCATCTACTTCACCCATTTATTGGTCTGTCTATTCCTTCAGAAAAGATCTACTAGCTCAAAATTTTGTCCAAGGTGCTCCATAAGGCTCAGTGACATGAAGCTGCATCAGAGGACATGAAGCTGAACTAACGGAGCTCAGTCTGGCCAATGAGTAAAGCATGAGTGTCTCTGTCATGTGATTAAACCCTAAATGAAGGGGATGAAAGAGACCATGCAAGGGGCTGATGATCCATTGTGCCCAGGAAGAAGAGTGTGGGTTAGGCTATAAAGAAGAATGATCTCTAACTGGGGACGTAAAGGATGAGTTGGGTGTTAATTAGCATGGGGGGGGGGGAATCTTTGGCAGAGGGGATAGCATGGGCAAAGGCCTGGTAGTGGGGTCACATATGGCAAGGCAATGTGAGTGAGAGCTGGAAGGAAGTTAGCCATGAGTCCTGAGTACAGGCTAGGTCCAGGTTATAAAGGGCTCTGAATGTCCAGGTAAAGACTATGGACTTTAGAAAGGCAAGAAATATTATTTTTTCACTCTATGTTTTCAGGTTTTGTTTCCTCAAGCATATTCCAAGGCGACATTGTACATTGAAACTGTTGTGAAGTGCAAGGAAGTTGCAGCAATATCCTATTAGGATACGGCTTTCCAAAGGCTTGCTCTTGTGTTTGGAACTTTGCCTGCTGCTTACTGGCACTTGGAAGCCTGTTTCGGGTGTCTGCTAGCTCTGTGGGCACAATGCGGCAGGCAGAGGAGTGTGTGTGCAGAATTTGCTCTCTGACGCTTGTCAATTCATTATTGTCTCATCACTGGTTGCGGGTCGCTCCTCTTGCCTATATTGCAATATGGAAATTAGGTACTGATAGCGCCAGGGACATGGCAATGACAGTGGATTCCAAACTGACATTAGGGTCATTAGGTTGTGCTACTAAAAATGCTTGTAAGGAGAAGATTATTATGTATTTTCAGCTCTTTTAGAATTGACATGTGCTGGTTCTCTATGTTAAAAAAGAAAGCTCTTCCCTGGATATTTAAAAAAACTTGAAAAAGCACGCTAGATAAAATCAAATTAGGAATTTGGCTTTTACATTTGGCATAAAATGAAATGGGAAAACTATCCTATTTTATAATAAAAATGCCCAGCTGAACTCCCCTGGCATATGGAATTATTTTTCTACACAGAAGAGAAAAAGGCAGTTTATCAATGCATTATAATGTGGTATAGACTCAGGATATTTTCATCAACCAGAATGAGGAATTTGGGCAGCATTCAGCACATGCCACTCTGAGAACAAAACTGTAGATAACACACAGTTTAATGCTCGAGGAAAAGTTTTGAGTTCATCATCCAACTCATTATTGCTAGCATATATGTGGTTACAAAATAAACAGCATGGAGAAATCCCTGACACATATGATACCATCATAAATAAAATCAACCTAGAAATATAGACTCAGATTTTTAAAAGCCAAAGAGCACTTTTGCATCAAAATGTTAATTTTTTTCTCATATAAAGAGAACATATACTTATTCTAAATGTAATGCAATTATTCAAAATTATTTTAAGCAGCTTACTTAATCTCAGGGTGGATTCTGTGATTTTGGGGGGGTCATCCTCCCCTCCTGAGGGGCATTCCACCGTTCCGGGCCAGACGCTGATCCTGAAATAAGTGGCGGCTCATGCTTAGCACAGGACTCACTCAGCTCTCTCGCCTTCTGAGCATCCAGGACCACAGCTCAGTGCCACCACGTCGTGCCCAGCAGGAGGCCAAGTGATGCAACTTGGTTATTAACCTATATGAGATTCTTACACTCGATGGCATCTACTTCACCCATTTATTGGTCTGTCTATTCCTTCAGAAAAGATCTACTAGCTCAAAATTTTGTCCAAGGTGCTCCATAAGGCTCAGTGACATGAAGCTGCATCAGAGGACATGAAGCTGAACTAACGGAGCTCAGTCTGGCCAATGAGTAAAGCATGAGTGTCTCTGTCATGTGATTAAACCCTAAATGAAGGGGATGAAAGAGACCATGCAAGGGGCTGATGATCCATTGTGCCCAGGAAGAAGAGTGTGGGTTAGGCTATAAAGAAGAATGATCTCTAACTGGGGACGTAAAGGATGAGTTGGGTGTTAATTAGCATGGGGGGGGGGGAATCTTTGGCAGAGGGGATAGCATGGGCAAAGGCCTGGTAGTGGGGTCACATATGGCAAGGCAATGTGAGTGAGAGCTGGAAGGAAGTTAGCCATGAGTCCTGAGTACAGGCTAGGTCCAGGTTATAAAGGGCTCTGAATGTCCAGGTAAAGACTATGGACTTTAGAAAGGCAAGAAATAGAGTTTGTCATGATTTAATGGTAAACCAAGTATTTGATATTGAAGAAAAACCACCTCAGGAAATTATTGGAAATTTTGATTTTGATGATTTGAATGTAATGAAGAATATGCCTCCTTTGCAAAGCAAAAAGGAAAAGGAAAAGGTGAACACAAGTTTTGTTTGACTTAAGAAAGATTTAGAGATTTAAGAAATCAAACAGGAATAATTTAGAAATATGACATAAAACATTAACATTTTTTGTGGCAAATTCTTCCTTCTACCCAGCTTGTCTCACTTCTCACCCTATCCCAGCGCTTTTCCAATTCATTCTCAACGGCTTTCCGTTCCTCCACGTTGCCTACCAAATGAGATATGCACACCTTAAGTGGGGTTTCCAGAACTTCACTGTAATAACCTCACTCACTTTTTCCACCCCTTTTCTTCTAGCCATATTCTAAAATATAGGTTTCCTGAAACCAGGGTTTACGTCATCCAGTCAATGATGTTCAACAAAGACTCCCCAGTTGATATTTCTCCTACACAGCTGAGTCCATGCCTGTTTTAAGCTGATATGTGTGTGTGTGTGTGTGTGTGTGTGTGTGTGTGTGTGTGTGTGTGTGTGTGTGCATGTGCATTATTTCCCTATATAGTTTAAGAGAATCAAGCCAAGTATGGATAGTTTCACTAATTTTCAACTTTCATAGATAGCTGACTTCTACATTATGTTAAATGAATCCCTAACATGCAGGGAGCCAGTGGCTACACTGACCCTAAAAACAGTTAATTTGCTCAGTTTTATAGACTGTATTTCACCAAAACTGTTTCACCTAATATAAGACAGAAACTGTGATTCATTCATAAAGAACGAATTCAAATCTCATCCCTCTAAGACAGGAAAGGAAGCCTCCAAATGGACATGCTGCTTCTCAAAGGGGACTGCCAGCATGGGTGGTGCAAATCCGCTCACTGCCCAGGCGGTTGACCTTGGCGTCTAGGCTCAGGGTCTCCGCCGCTGTAAAGGAGGCAAGGGGCAGTGCAGCTCTTGGTACCTCAGGTGCAGGAGTCAGAGAGGCTTGGGTTAGAATCCTGGCTCCATGTACTGGCCCTGTACCGTTGTGCATGTCACTGAATTGCTCTGAACCCTAATTCCTTCATCTGTAAATCTGAATGCCTACACCTATCACAGAGGGCTATTGTAAGGATGACATAATATATTGGTCGAGTATAGGCATATCCTTCTTTTCCTCCTCTTCCTCCTCCTCCTCATAATGATGATAATGACTTTTTTTCAGTATTTTATTAAATACTTACTTAAAGAAATTCAAGTATAAAGAGATCAGTAGCTTGCCCCAGGCCCCTCAGCTGTGAGAGAAATGTCGCAGATGTCCAGTGCCTACCTGTGGTTTGTGCTCCCTAAATGGTGGCTGTTATTTTTACTACCTCTGTTTCTTCTAGTTTTGCTCATGCTACTCTCCTACTATTATATATGATGACGAGAGAGCATTCTGAGGGCAGGATCTCCATTCCTCATGTTCAGTGTTGGGTGGCTATAAGTAGCAGAGTTTCTGGCACCAGTACATCTTATGAAATGAATTCAGATCATTGTTCTTCTCTTGTTGCCTGTCTCCTCCACTCTGTGTTTCTCATCAACCGAGTTCCCCTGGGCCCTGCATTAGGATCTGCAGAGGCCCTGGCAGCCAGCTGCACACACACCCTCCTTGTGGAGATGGGAAGGCTGTCGCTGCCCACACAGCCATCCTCTGGTGACTCGACTCCACTCCTTGGGGGCTGGTTTTATTTCCCTAATTCTTATCCTACATGAATCTTCAGTGTCCCTAAAGTCTAAGGCTTGCTCAATAATGGATGACCTACAGCAGGACCAAGGAGCACTTCTAGTTTCACCTTTCTAAACAGAGCACACACACATATCTGGCTTTAATTTGATGTGCTTAAAACACAAAATTAAAGGTGTAAATTCCTTTTTCTGTAGTAACTATTTTCATGAGAATAAACAAACTCTAGGTAAATAAGACATTGACTACATTCATGATTCACAGCAACAAAAGAAACGTTAATTACTACATTTTGTCCCCCACGGCAGATTTTTAAAAAATCTCTCTCATGCCTTCGTGCCTCTAGCACTAAGCAAGAGCAATGTCTTGAGGAAGTCCTCAAGACATTCATTTCCAAAATGACTTTGACAAGATAAAACAAACCCAGATGGCTTCTGAAACGGCAGGTTGCAAAGAGCACCTGGCCTATCAATCCCTCAATGGTGGCACCGTTTATTTTAAACAACCCTTTCAGCCATTTTCCCAGTGGTTTTCTAATCGTTGCCATCTTCATACATGTCTGGGCTTCTCTGTCCTCATAAAGAAGCAGCGTATTGTGCCTTCAGGAAACACGAAGCTTACCAATGCACCGAGAGCCATCTGCTGAGGTCACGTATCCACGCGGACAGATGCAAAAATAGCTTCCCACAGTGTTGGAACATTCGCCAGCTTCACATATCCCAGGAATGATGCTGCACTCATCGATGTCTAATCGAGGGGAGGAGGAGACGACCAGTGAGAAAGGCCTTCATTAAACAGCTTGGAAAGGGGATTTTCTTTAAAGAGTATGAGAGCACTCATGGTTGATTAGGTCAGATCATATAACCCTGAAGATACTCTTATTTCAGGCCCTAAAGAATTTCTCACACATATCTATGGGAACTGAGATGAAAGTAAACTCCCATGGCAGTAAAACAAAGCCAACCCAAACAAAACTCTATATATCCTTTTTTTCCCCCCAAATGCAATTTAAATTGGAAATAAGTAAAGATGTCCATGTTTTCATTTCCATTCTACGTCAATTAGGGAATCATCCTACAAAAGCCTTTAAAAAAAAACACATACAGGGATTACATTTTAAAATATGGAATAAGTACATTTAAAATTTTACAGCTAGTTTTCACACCAATTATTTGAACCAATGGAGGGTGGCAAAGAATTTTTTTGTTTTTCCTGTTTGGCCTCAGGATATGATTTTGTACTTACATCTGAATATGGGTATGTTTGACATACTGGGAATCAACTTTAAATCTAAAATAATGCAGAAACATGGCAAAGGGCAACCTTGGGAGGCTTTGGGAAGTGTCCAGTTTTCCTATTGTGCCTTCCTGATCTTACCCATTCAGCTCATTCAATGCTGGAACAAGTCTATTTATTCCCTCCCACATTAATGAAAGGTCTGCTTTCTTTTAAACTTTCCCTGAAGCAGAAAACCTAGCCATTTATATAAGCTTTAATGTACTGTTCTTCTACTTCAATAAGCAGAGAGAGGTGGAAAAGTCAAACAACGTACAATTAGGTACACCGGGAGCTAACTGCTAATACACCTAAAAGGAAATGAGCTATTGTGAGGAAAATCCAGCCACAGGATGCCTGGGAGTGGGCTGTCCTTTTTAAGAAACAGAGCTAGCAAAGACCCATGAATATAGTTACAAAAGCCATCAACATAGATGAATACTGAAAAGTAAACCTGGGCTCTTAGCCACAGGATGCCTGGGAGTGGGCTGTCCTTTTTAAGAAACAGAGCTAGCAAAGACCCATGAATATAGTTACAAAAGCCATCAACATAGATGAATACTGAAAAGTAAACCTGGGCTCTTACTTTTAGGGTTTTTTTTAGCTCTGTGTGTGTGTGTGTGTGTGTGTGTGTGTAATAGAGAGAGAGACAGAGAGACAGAGAGACACAGAGAGAGATTTTTAATGTATCCATAGAAATCATGGGAAAAAATTATGTTCTTGTTGTACATACAAGTTAAGAAATTTTAAACCCCACAACTAAAAAATATGGTTGGCAATGCCTTTCTTGAATTCCTCCATTGGTCTATTTTTTTTTTTCCCATTTATTCTGACAAGTCACTCTTGCCTATAAGCTGTGCAATGAAACAACTATATGTGTGTGTCTTCTTAGACTGTTCTTATGAAAACTCACCGGATTCAGACATTCTCCGAAATAATATCTTCATTTGAGGCTTAACAGTTAGCCGCTGAAGGCACCATGGTACATATCAAAATCTACCAAATGCCCCTGGAGACATCAGAATTATAACATGAATTGGCTACATGAGAAGCAAATACATTATGTGGTGAAAAGTAACCATCAGATTTCATACAACAAAATGAAACCATGTGTGCAAAATTAGGACCTGTTGCATCCTATGTTGCTGTCTTCGTGCAGTGCATGTTAACAAAACTGAACATGGATTCAGAAGAGAAAGGAAATGAGAACAGCTGTAATTTAATGACCAAATAAACTGATCAATCACTTCTGGGTAAAGCAGACAAAAAAGTAAAAGAGCACCCAATACAAGCAGCACAAGACTGAAGGACCAAAACTTGTCCTCTGATCCTCTTACATATGAAGTTACACCAATGGTCAAGGCCATTACAGAGCCCAGGATTGGTCTAAATTTTTAAAGTCCTTCATTTAAGCATTAACTCTTATTTCCAGGCATTTCCTTTCATTATAAAGAACTTCTTTGTGTTCTACTTCCAAATACCCTCCCTGAAAACAAAAAGACTAGAAAATTTAAAGACATTTGACATTTTTCTTTTTTAAGGGGAAAAAAAATCTGGAACATAGAAACACACATGGAATGATTAAATTTGTGGTTTTTGTGTTAAGTATTTCATTATAAAAAATCTATGTTTCACAATTCTTAGAATTAACTGGGAACAACAGGTTAGCTTCAAAATAATTATTTTACAAGGCTCTCAGTAACGTATTTAAGAATTTTATGTGAAAAATAGGAATGTTTTTCATTTATTTTTGGATAAACTCTAACCCAAATTTCAAAAACTAAAAAATGTGTTTATTTTTTTTAATGATCAAAAACAACCTGCGTTTCAATGTAGTCAATGCTCGAAACTTATCTATCAATTTAAATTTAAGTTTAGCGTTAATATCTATGTTAAGAAGGGCACATGTATTTGGCTATTTTGTAAAATAAGCAGAGTTGGAAGTATTATCTCCCAAAACATAAAGTGCATATTGTACAGTTAGGTATAAACAAGCATGCATAATGGTGACAAGCCTATTCATGGGAAAAGGGAATGTCTTAACAATGGGAGTTGGTTTCATTCAATACTCTGTGTATGTAATGTGTCTCCACACCACCACCCCTTGGAACCTTTCTTAAAATTTTCATTTATCAATTTGGTGGTGTTAATGGGGAAATATCAGAAAAATTGGTCCAAACTGACAAAACCCAGAAATTTAACAGCTTGTACATCTGGAAGTTCAGAAGAGGCATGGATTTCAGGGCTGGTTTAAGCCAATGTCTCTTGCTCAGTTTCTCTGAGATATGCTCAACTATGCCCTCCTCTGTGCTTTGACTTCATTCCTAGGCTGACTTCCCTGATGGGAGCAAAATAGTACTGCAGTCGTAGGCTAGACCTTTGACTGGGGTATCTAGCAGATGAAAGGGTGTCTCTTCCCAGGGCTCTCTCCTAAGGAAAAAACTTTTTCCCAGGAACACCTAGTAAATCTTCCTTTTGTCCTAACATGCCAACTTCTGGCTATTCCTCCTTCCCGGAGATTATGCTGAATGGCAAAGGCCTGGAGTTCTAAACCAATTACTGTGGCAAATGGAATGCAGTTAGCTTCAGACTAATAAAGGACAACAAAAACAGGAACAGCATGAGCGAGTACATCTGAAAATACAGCACAGTTGAAGCAGGGAAAGTGTACCAGAACGGCTGGGAAATCCACAGAAGATAAGCCTAGCTAGTTGGTAACATGCCAAACCCTGGAGAGCCTTCCATGGACTTTGGCTTTTATTTGAGGTGCTTTATTGTGTTTATGAAGGACTGTAAATTAAACAAGAGCATTGCATAAGCCAGTTAATATTTTAGAAAGACAATTACTGTGTTTAATGTGCATAAAAAACAGTCAGTGATGAATGAGGAAAGCCTGAGTAGGCTTTATGATGATGAGGAGAACACAGTTCATGAGCTACCCGGAAGGAGAAATCAACAGACCCTTGCCACTCGGTTAGTATCTTGGACTTCTGGCTTGAATGACAAGGGAGATAATGGTAGTGCTAATAAAAGAGAAAGGCACACAAAGGGAAGAACACATTTTGAGGTGAAGTTGAGCTTTGGACAGTTTGACCTTGAGATGTTTGAGAGAAACAGGCAGAAATTCCAACTTTGCAGGTAGAAATCTGAAACCCAGTAAGGAAGTCAGGGTTAAAGATGTGCCCTGGGGGTTTATCGCCAACTCTGTGGATTGCATTTGAAGTTCAGCAGACGCGATTTCCAAAGGAGACACGTGAACGAAGAGTCAAATTTGGGGAGGGAACTTCTGAGAACAGCCTCCATCTAAGGGACAGTCGAAAGAAGAAAAGCCAGGATAGGAGCTGGGAAGGGAAAATCACAGAGACAAGAGGAAGAATACAAGGAGGCTAAGAAAGTTCTGTCAACGTGGAATTCCAGTGTGCCATGGAAGGGCGAAGAAATGGAAGGACTGGGACGTGTTTGGTAATTTGAAGAAGCTGAACCCAGGCATTTTAAGAGAACTAGATCTAAGCAAAACCATCTGACAGATTTCTGACTGCCAAACCACATAACCTCCCATTTGTCAACCGACGTTTACAACATTCACTATCGGTCTTACTCCAAGCAGAATATAATGAATGATTTGGTAAGTAGGGCTAAGTGTGATCTCAGATATCACTGAATTCTAAGAACATTGCCCTAGAGATTCTGGCAATTCCAGTATGGATGTGTCATACATAAAAGCAGTCCATGTAACAATTATGTTACAGAGAACTTAGAATAAATACAAGAAATTCTGTTTTAAAAATGGGTTCTTAGAATATTTTTTTCCAATCAGTGCTAAGGACCTAAATGCCTTTGGCCTATTTTATGGTACAGAAAAATGTTCGAACACTGAACTTTTATTAATACACTGTTTATGATTAGGAAAATTTGAGAGTAAATTTTAAATGTACTAAATTGCTACCTATTTCAAGCTTCTAGAAGGACAACAGACAATATCAAAATGATAAAGCAAGTAGTCATGGAAAATTAATGTTTGCTTTTCCCCTTTTCAGATTTTGAAAGCATGGTGTGTTGTCAACTGTGTTCAGAATTTCATTGTACATTTATTGAAATATAATAATTGCATGGTAATAAAATTCACTCACTTGAAGAGTAAAATTCAATGACTTTTAGTATATTCAGAGACTTGGGCAACCATCATTACAATCTAATTTTAGAACATCTTCATCCCCACAAAAGTAATTTCAGTCCCTTGGCAGTCACTCTTCCTACCTTCGTCCAAACCCTAGGCAATAACTGATCTATGCAAAACTCATAAGTAATCTGTCTCTATAGTTCTGACTAATAATAACTAATCTACCTCCATTGATTTGCCTGGTCTAGACATTTCATATAAATGGATTCATAAAATATATGGTCTTTGGTGACTGGCTTTTCGCTTTCTATGTTCTCAAGGTTCATCCATATTGTGGCACATAGTACTTCAT